GGGGTGCAAGAGACCGCTACCGTTATGGGGGGGACGACGGGTCTCGTTAGGGACGTTATTCGTTGGCCAAACCTCAACGGGCTCCAGCATTGCCAGCCCAATCATCTCGAGCCCACGTTTCTGGAACTTCGCAATCTTGGCGTCGGTACCAGCGTCTACGATGGTATTCGTCATGACATTGTGGGCTTGGAGATTATACAATGGAATGATCGTGCGCCGCCCTGGCTGTGACGAAGCACTTGTGCTGGTGCTGGCAACCGACGAGAAGCTGGATACCGAAGAATAACCAGAGTAGATGGACGTCGAGACATCTGAGCGGTTCGTGCTTGTCCGAGTCAGCTCATTGGCCGAGTCGTCCGTCCCCTGCCTCCGCGGTTGGTTTGCATCGAATGACTGACGCGCCGGAGTAGCAGTCACTGGAGTATTTACCGTCCCCGTGGGTGTAAGTCCTGATGGTCCACGAGAATTGGGGGGTACAAGTTGCACTTGTAAATTCAACGGGTGGTTTGTCTTGGAGGGAGGGGGTCGAACAAAGATGAACGTCTGCAGACTCGTCAGAGAGCAATGACAACCGAAGCGAACCGACAAACTTCATTCGCTCCTTTCTTGTCCTTTTCCTTCTGATCCTTCACCAACCCGAACTCATTAACTGAAGGCTTGGCGCGATTGGTATTCTCATCCTCATCGTCATCGTTGTCGGGGCGGAAGTCAGACGAAGGGGCGACGTTGGCTTTCTCCGGAGAAGCATGCAGCTGAAGGGCAGAAGGTAGGAATGATGTAAACGAAGCAAACATTGCTCGGGGTGATCAGATAACAGCCAGTCCGGCGTCGATGGTTTCTGGGCGCTGCACGCGGAGGGCCTTGTACGTGATGCCAGATTCTCAATTCGAGTGATTTTATCAACGACCGCAATCACGCCTGTGGGATACCGTTCGCTGCGGTTCCCAGCCGGATAATCTACAATTACTGCGATCGTGTCACGACAGGGCGTCCAACGTATGGACCACATACCTTTGGCGTTCCAGTGATGTCGGGGGTGGCTTGGCAGCCCTGGCTGCGCAATCGTGGCCTAATCAGAGGGATACCAATGCCCCTTGCTTCGGGAGATGGTGGAGGGAACGTCCTGAGAGGAGCCAGAATCTGTGGGATGATGAGGAGAAGGAGGAAAGCTTTAAAGTCAGTAGTCATACGTTTTGACACATTTTTGATGACCGACATTTCCCTTTCAGGAAGATGTTTCGTATAAAACGCGACCACTTTCACTCGAAATTTCATTCAATCAGTGAACATGGCGGAGGCGCCGGCGGAATTGCCTGTACTACACATTCATGGGAAGGATGAACCATTCCCGATGGTCGATAAGCTACAGACGATTGACCAGGCAAATACCGAGCATCCTGCAAGACACCCGTTAGTCGTACCCGCAACTCCTGATAAAAAAGTATATCGTCCGAGTAGTCCGGAGACTGCAAAACAACGGAGGTCTGACAATAATTCTACGACACCCCTTTAGGAAGCTTGCGAGTACATCAAAGTGAAAACCTATCAAAAGGAGTTGGTCAGCTTGATGACCATCATGAGTTTGAACGAATTCATTGCTTCCGAAAGAGGAAGTCGAAGCAAGCAGACGCAAGTATGTTTTCAGGAAGTTTGTGTATCATGTAAGGGGCAAAAGATCACCACAACGGATGTGCGGAAGGGTTAGCAACGACGACGAAGTGCTAGCTGCGACCAGTCGCCCACCTGTTAGGTACAAAGTCAGCGTGCGCATTCTCCCTGAATACCTGGGCAAGCGTACCGAGTATAGCGGGCCGTATGTTTAGGACGCTGAGTGTCATGAAACACGTCGACAGGGGACGTGGCTGAGCCTCAAACAACAAAAGGACGATGTGCAGGGATATTCAGCGCTGTCCCATCATCCACTGGGCAGTCTAGAGTCCGGCGGGTGGGCCGGATGGATTAATCCCTTCATTTTTCGTCCAGGTACCTACTGCGCTCTTCGTGTCAGAGATGGCTGGCCGGATATACCGTCGTGCACACTGCAGGCGGAGTACGCGAAGGGCGAAAGAGTACCCGCAGCAATCTCCAGTCTGCAGCTTGACATTTATGAGTCCACCTGATGGTTTGAATCAGCCCGTTATCTCCTTCCAATTCACAAACACGATCGAGAGCCAGCGATCTCCGACGGGCATGAAACGGTCCACGATGCACATACCCATGCAAGCGGCTGGCGAACAAGCGCTTGGTAGAATACTTAAACCGTTGTGTGCACAGGAAGCTAAGGGTAAAGCGATCTAGATGCGCAAAGGTAAGGGATACCAAGGAAAACGTAATGAGAAACCTGCACCTCTGGTAATTAGCCTGGGAGAGGAAAAGAGTGGATCTGACAGCGTGCGTGAAATAATCTCCTCGTTGGCGCGAAAGGTGAGGAGAGTACTTACTTCCTTTCGGCGTTTTCAGGATTAAATCACTATCACGGACTATCCCTGTCAGTATTCTGCACGAGGCAACTAAGGACGGCATCGTCTGGCATGATCTCCTTGTTCCTCCGCAGAAAAGGTCTCCGGAGCGATAAGTACTTCCATACGATACGACTTAACGTAAGAAGCACGCCGCCCGCGACGCAAACGATCACATTGGAGACGCGATCGATCAAGCGCTAGCTCGGGGGGAGAGATGGGGTACTCGAAGACGACCCGAACGAGACGACTCTTCGATTATGAGCCTGACATCCGCAAAGAGATCGGGGTCATCCATAATTCGAGTTGCGGCGGGGGAAGTTGTACATGGGTTTCGTGAAGAGTTGATCACGGGGGAACGGGAAAGAGGATGTCAAACTTTGGTCATGATGCGATACTCGAGGAGACTCCGTCTGATTGATCGCAATCCATAATGCACGCTTGTACGCTTGCAGAAGCAGGCTGACGTAGCCTTGACGGGCCAAGTTCAGACACGATCATGTCTGGCCTGCGTCAGTGTGGATCCCGTACAGCGGCGTGTAGAGTGTCTCATTTGCCGCGACGCATGTAGGCATGCGACATTGTGATGATGCGGAGGTGAACAGGTTCCTGGGTCTCAATCAGAATCACCAGGGCATCTTTGAGGACTCTGATGGAAAGTCTGTGAATGTCGTATTTCAGGATATGAGAAAAGAACACCTCTGTTCCCCATGAGTAGGCCTCCGATGATCGAATAACTAGTAACATGGTGTAAATGGACCAAACGCGGATGGTGCGGCCGATATCGCAAAATGCGTCGCTACGGATTTCAGCGAACGAAGAAGCTCGAACTCGTGTCCTCCAAAAAAAGTCCGTAGCAAACCGCGCTGAGAGCCTGAGCAGCGGTGAATTGGTAAAGGGTAGGCGGCATCTTCAATAGCTGGAACGCGTGTGAAGTCATGTACAACTGGGCAGACGTTTTGGGAAGAATGGAAGAGACATACATGATCCCTATTCACCGATGGAAACTCTCTGTTTCTTCTTCTTACGTTTCTTTCCCTCATCTTCAGGTTGTCCCTCGGTGACTTCAATGTCCCTCTTGACAGTGGATGTTCGAGTTGACGCGTGGCCAGTTCGAGCGGCGAACCCAGAGCTTTGGGATGAAGGTGGCTCGGATTGTAGTCGTTGGCCTTCCATTGGCGCGTCAACCCCAACGGGTTTCATGAACCCAGGAGGAGCCGTTGTGCCTTCCTGCTTACCGCGAGTGGGGTTTGCTATATTTCTGGCGCGGAGATCGGTGCCGGTTCCACTCAAATCAAAGATGCCCTGCTTTGTAGTGTTGCCAGTTGTGGCTGACGCTTTTGGACTCTTTGGAGCTTTACCATGAGCATAAGAAGATCCCGAGATCGACTTTAGCCGCGTGAGTTTTGCCTGGGAGTCTGTCTGAATCGGCAGACTAGTTTCCCCACCTCGTGGTTTATCCTTGAGCGAAAGCAAGTCAGAGCTATGACCAACGGCGATAAAGTGAGCTCCATGGACCACTGAAAACGCACCGAGTCGATTTGCACTTCTAGGCCTAGTTTAAACCGCCGCCGACCCTTCGGAAGTACTGCATCAGCCTCAGTTCCAATTCCGAGTTCCGTGTTTGTGTTTTCTGGATTTGGCGGGCTCTGTGACCGAAATACGAACGGAAGGTACGATGCTTCGTAAGTGATCTGCGGTCTGCTCACAATGTCAAGCGATTTTATGACGCCGATGTATCTCGGAGAGGAACGGCGTCTAGGTGCTCACCCTGATTCTGACTGCCCCACGCCCCAGGTTTCTCGAACATCCTGGCCAACTTCCCATTCCCCATCGTCCTTAACTTCAGCTTTATCTAGTTCGACTTGTGATTTGCTGGTTCTCTGGGAATTCTGCATAAACCGCAGGCTTAGCGTTCCCTTGCTAAGTCCTTTGCGGGTAGCCATTGTTTGTGAAATATGAAAGAGAAGATGGTGGCAAGGGTAGACGAGAGCTACGCGAGGCTACGCGGCTCAAATCCAGTCACGAAACTCTCGTGATCAAGAGATAAGATAAGATATCACCTTGATATCTCCTGTTGGCAAAGGGGATCTGGCCTGGTTTAGGACTTGGAGTTAGCTATGAGTGGAACCTCCGCCTCACGCGATGGGCCCCTCAAGTTCTTCAGTAGTCACTCCCAAGACCATGTGGGCACGGCCATGACGCGTAAATGAGTCGTTCGGGAGCGGTGATATCCTGCATGAGAGGCATTCGGCTTGCATTTGCGCACTTGCGGATAATGTTTTGGGTCGACAAGCTTCCCAGAGACTGCCCTGTCTGTGCTCCCTTGGTAAAGGAGCTTAAGTGCGTCCTGGAACGAATTTAGAACTCCCCTGCTAAGGCTATACCTCACCAACCACTATTGAGATGCTTGCCTCGGCAGTCAGGCCAGACATGGAAGTAGAGCTGATTCTCGCATGCTGGCCGGGGAATTCAACGCACATCGATCGCAAAAGCTGTGCGTTGAGTGTTGACATATGGCCAAGGAGAACGGCAAAAAGAAACCACAGATGGGACTCGAACCCACAACCTTTGCCTTGAACCCTCGCTAGTAGGAAGGCAACGCACTAGCCATTGTGCTACGGTGGCTTGGTGTCAATGCATCTCCGCTCCTGGATAGAAGGAGAGCGTCAGACCACCATTCCGTACCTTGCATTCATCAGGCACCCAACTTGAAGACTCGAGGCATATGTGATCGGATAACCTCACGCGGGGAATTTACGTACCAGAAGAGGCTCTAGGGCCTAATCTAACGTGCTTTGACTCCCTTTCGGCCCAATCGCTCCCCGAGTCGCCCAGCAATTGCTGCAGTGCACTGGGTGGCCACTACCACAGTGAACATGAGTTGATCGACCTTATCACAAGTTCGGAGCTCCCTCATATCAGATTAATGACATACCCGATGAGGTTCAGATATGAACGACGAAGGTCTCCTAAGGTCTCCTACTGGGCATATGAGGAACAAAGCCGTAAGTTGGGTTGCCATCACTTGAGCATCGTGCCCTAATCGATGAATAATCCTTACCATGTTTGACCGGTGACCTCCTGTCGTGGGCAGGTAGGTTAGGTGGTATGTCATTGGCGGGAGCAGCCTAGAAGGCTCGAAGGCATAACCGAGCTGTTGCATACGCCCGCAAGCCAAAACGGCCTTTCTTCTATCGGATCGCATGTCCTTTTCGAGGTTAACTTATTTAACATTCATCCGACAAATAGTGCTATAACTTCCGGCACGCCACCCTTCGCGAACGAACTGCGCTGTCTGTTCTACTTAGTATTGGAGTTACTGACACGCCCTCCTCAAGAATCAGATCTCGGAGATCAAACCTGCTCAGCAACGCAGTGCTCGATCGCACACTAGCAGATTTCGGGATTAATGGTGAGTGCTGAGAGGACACGACACTGGTGGTGTTCGTCATAATCAGCTCATCGTGATGCGGACCAGTGGAATTTGATCCCCTTTTTACTTAGACGAAGAAGAGAACTCGAGAAGTTGCAGATAAATGTAGAAACATCTATTAACATCATGAGACTACACGGAGCACTCCCGTCGAGGTGCGGACCTCACCCACATGTTACATACGAATCCTATCATCATATCACCAGACATGACTACATTCTGATGCGTGCGCGCTTGGGTTGTATTCGATAACAAGCCGTGCTTCGAACGTGCGGAAATTAGACGGCGCACGCGGAGTCTACGTTGATAGTGCAGTGCATGCGCACTTATTGAATTATGCCTATGGGAGTAAGTGGTAGACATGCATGACAAAATTGTGAATGGGATGGTGGTCCCGTGTGCGCAGGGTAGGATGGTGCCGTATACCCACAGGGACAATCAAAGCAGGGCTACAGCTACCCACGCACCTCGAGTGGGAACTCAATACAACTGGGGCAGGGTGCGGGACGATAGCTGTGTTTCTGCCGCGTTTCATAGCCTCACGAGGGCTCAAGCCGAAGAAATATGCCTTCCGCCTGACCGTAGCCAAGAGAACTGACAAAGTAGTCATCGAATTCGCGGTGAGTAAATTCTCTCAAACCCATATCACATATCATACATCATGGTTCGTCTTCTGAAGTAAGAAGTTCCCCACTGACCGTTACGGTTAGCCACTGTGTGTGTGTGAGGTCTGTATCCCAATGTGAGAAACCGGTTGTCAGCAGAAGATAGGCATTCACTTCCTCTGTACTTTTTGAGGATCAGGCGTCCTCGTAAGCGGGGCGCGGCATTGACAACATCTGTAATACAGCCATCCGGGATGTTCAAAACTGCTATGCCGGCCCCATCCTTGATTAATCCTACCCAGATGTCCACGGTGGTGACGGCACGAAGGCAAGGTAGGCTGCGGCCTCTTCCCTAGCCACGATCACGGACCAATTCACTGATGAACATTCAGAGCTCCCGTAAATTACCTGGTACCAAACGTTGGGTCGTTCTTTTGACTGCCGCTGGTTATTTCTGGATGCGAAGTATTCAAATGTTATCGCCGGCGCCCATGTCCCGTGGAAGACGAACAGGCGATTCAGTTGCCGAAATCAAGGAGATCTGAGAATGGTTGCATCATGAACTTAATTTCCAGAGACAGAAGAAAGAGACCAAATGGGCGCGAAGGAGGCACCCGTGAATTCTGTTCCTCCTTCGAGACGGTCGGAGGGTTGTTCCGGACCAAGCAGTGTGGTGGCAAGACTTTGTCATTTCCCATAGTCCGCGAATAGGTGTTTCCATTCTGGCCTCCCTCGCGATGGCTAGTTGCGGTGGGTGGGCGTAGAAGCAAGTCAGAGGTGCGAGAAGCCGTTGTGAAACGCGACGCTCGGACGGTCTATCGTGAAGCTAGATGAGGTCCGGCTACTCACTTGCAGGCTAGATTCCAGTGAAAGCGTGCTATGATGAGACTTCTGATGACGCAAGGGACGGCCGTCGGCCAGTGGGAGACAAGGTACACCCAAGGGGCACCGCGAAGGGTGACACAGAAGCAGATGCATTAATGTCCAGCAGGAAGGATGCAGCCGAAGTGGGGTGCGCGTAGAGAACCCAGGAGTGACCCGATATATCCGGGAACTGTAAGAAGCGCTGCGATGAGGTCCAAGGTCGATGTGTAAGAAGCGGCCGAGAGTGTGGCGATATCTTTCTGCCTGTGAACTACCCGGGAAAGAGCCTGTCGCATTCTGATATGTTTGACCCCGTGGCAAGAATTGGACTCTGTGGATACTTCACTATACCTAGACGGTGCGTCGTGTGGTATTTACGGCATCGCCCGTCTTGCAAGAATTTCCGCTCACGGTGCCGGTCGTAACGAAGATGCGTATGATAGTTGACAGTAATAGTATATACGATAAGGATTGAGTGGCGTGGGCTTTTGTACTGCGAGGCCACGATGCGATGTATGGATGAGCACAGCTTGTGATTGCCCTTTCCAGCCCTCGAGAGAGAGGAGGCAGGTCGTCCTCGGGAGATTAATCCTTTTGGCATTTTGGAAGGTCCAGAACTAGCGTTTCGCGGTGGATATAGTATAGCTGTCTCGCATGGGAAATGATCCCTATTTCTGTGTGAGGCGATGCCAGACCATGTACGTGGGGAAGTGGTGAGCGAATGAATGGTGAAATTTGGGAGAACTTGCGGGGGCATTAGGGATGCCTGTGAAAGGGGATTTGAATCGGTAAATGGGCAGATGAGTGGGGGGACAGTTGTGAAACGAGCCTAGAGATGCTCATCATCATACCGACATGGACGGTGATGGGCGAAGAGATATGGGTGAGTTGCAATGATTGCTTTAATGATATCTATCTCACATCTCGAATCTGAGCTGACAGGTCGAACAGGGTGAGTGAGAACACGTCGCTTACCGCCTGGAGATCCAAAGACGAATATCCAGCACCGTATGTAAATCTCAACGGTCCGAAGGAGCTGAGTGGTTCACGGTCGCTCTCAGCCGAACCAAGCTCGGCCTTTAAATTCGATTGCCGCATTTGCAGGTTGCGGTATATAAACCTCCGTTCGGACTTGTATAAAATCCCCAATCGTGTTCCCAGTCAGCACTCTTCTCTCTCTTCCTCTCTCTGATGGCCACTTTCCATCTCAGGCCAGTCTCAGACAATTCTCCATCTCCATCACCGAGCGCCTCCACAACGCCCCCAGGCGACCACAGCCCAGCTTCATTCAAGGGTCGTCCAGGAATGCTACCCTCGCCTTCATCCAATACCGCTGCAGGGGGCAGAGTTCGCAGACCATTGTCACCCAGTTCTCTTCGAGGTACGCTACAAGAGTCCTTGGTTTCACAGATATCCCCCTTCTCATCATAGTATCTTATATTCTCAGACGTCGATCTCACTCCTCATTCATCCGATCCACCGTTGAGAAAGTACCCGGCACCCCCGACAGGACATGATCTTATGGCCATGTTCCCGCCACCTCCGCCTGACTTGTTCCCTGAAATGAGACCAGGGCCGACCAGTGGTTTCTTCCAGCGTCAAGAGCGCGCGTTTTTTGCTCAGGCTGGGAAGGAGATAGTCCGTGTGCGTGTAGAAGTCGATATATCAGACCTCGATCCTACATCCTCGGCAAAAATGAGACCACCTGTGCGCGAACAATCCGCACCACCAAGACCGTGGCCGCAGCAACAGCTTCACCCTGCCCCTACAGCCTCAGCCTCATCAGGCCCAGGTGCACCAGGCCCAAATTCCCATGCTTCTCCATCGCAATCATCGTCCTCTCTGCCATACCCCCCACAAAACATGCGATCCGGCAGGCAGAACGTTCCGATGACATCCGCACCCCTGTTCCCCTCTCCTCATTCACAGCACTCGCAGCCGCCACCCAATCTCCATCCTCCTCCTCCAACACTGCACCACCCATCACTTGGTTTGCGAACTCCTGGTCAAGAAACGGGTCCCAATGCTACACCCAAACAAGAATTCCCTCCCGAAGAGTATCGCGAAGACGATGAAGCTTGGCGGCGGCCGATGCCTTACGCCGAGAGGAGACGGGCTGGGAAGCACACGCGACGTGTTATCGTCAAGAACTGAACATTCCTCTACCGGTGAGTAGATCATCTCCGTGACGTGCGTTTCGCATTATTCATTCAGGACTACTCGCTTCAGCATAGGGTCTTCTTCCCCATTCTTGTTTCTTGTCGCTGCCATCATGTCTGAATTCCCTTGGCACGTTGTATGTATTTTTGTTGCATCGCATCTCTTGCTTTCCCGTCTCGGTGTCTCCGTTTTGGATCTTCAGACACGATGGCAAATACGTATAGTAGTAAAGTAAATTCATGCTCTTACGTCCTCCAGTACGTGCTTCTCCATCCACTTGAAGATGATAATTCGTATATAATTCATGTAATCCTCTACCGCATTTTCTAAACCAGGCTAGATGTCACACCAATGGGTAGTTTACCATTAGACCGATCTGCGAATCAGCTGCTGTGCCCCAGGTCAGTCAGATCATTCCACCAGTGATCATGATCGATGATTTCCGTTTCCGGGCCTCGGTTTCAGCCGGATCTCAGGCCCTTCTCTAGTTTCGGCACTATCTCCTTTTATGACCATGATTCAGCCTTGACTGCAGTTGGAGGTGCAGGGGGGACAGAGGGACC